GCGATAAAATTCGTAAAAACTAGTTTTATTTAAATGAATAGCTTATTTTACTTGCCACTACTTGAGTATTTTTGTACTGGCGTTGTAGATTAAATATTTGACAAATTTTCCTGCCGTAAAAAATAATACTACAGCCTTTTTTATCTTTTATCTTCACCATCAATCGGTGTAATTAACTAATTAGGGCTCAGACTTTTTAAGGTGAATGGTCGCCTAAGCCTTATACAACCAGTGACGTGCACGGTCTTTCTGTCACCTCCTTATTTACTTGTTATGTGGCACTGAAAAATACTCAGACCGATGCAATAATCAAACATTGTGTGCAAATACTGGGGGAAGGATATCCATCGATCAGTACATAAAAGTCTTGCTGCACTGCTACGAGGCTGGTTATTTTTACTCTTACTTTGATGTTGTATGTAGTTTTTTGGATGATCTTATATACGGCAAATAGTACGGAGGTGTGATAAAATACATAATATAATGAAAATAATGTAGGAAATGGAATTGTATTACGACACCCCTCATCCGAACAGAATAAAAGATTTCAGTAATATCCTTGAGGGACCGGGGTTCTATCCCCGTATGATATGTGTTAATTATTTTTGACTTACAAGGATATGCCGAATATTTGCGTTTCGATCTAGTAATGGGTGCAGCAGTAGACTATTTATATGTACGTGATGAAACAATGAAGGTAAAGGTCTGGTATAGAATGTAAACACAGATTCAACGAAGCGTGGCATTTCAATAACAATGGATCAACAACCATCTGGTACCAGATATTGGGCATTAAGTGAAGTCGATAACGTTGTAAAATGAATAAACTGTCTAGGCATGATATTAGTTACTTATAAAATATATCATGAATAATCATCATTAGTACCGCTCTGTACTTAAATTAGGAAAATTGGAGCACTTGTAGAGTCACATAGGTTTTTTTTAAATCTTCTGAAACTACTGGATGGAGATATATTATATGCTACAGGAATACATTAGCACGCAATTATTATCATGCGACACCTATCATTTTTTATATATATGGGATATCTTCCGATGTATTCTTATTGTATTACCATGTTGTTGTTATAGTAGTTTTCATTCAAGTATTGTATTCCTAACTTTGTTTTCTTATTATAAAGTAATTAAAACATCAAATCTATTATGTCACCTTTTATATAAGTACAGTTCAGTTGAATATTCGTGCAGATGAGTTGGCTACTCACACTCATGATTAATGTGATCGAGCCATTCACCCAGACCCAATTTCCCTTGTTTATTTAATAAAAATATATCAAAATGTATTTACTTCTATATTCACAGTGATGAAAGCTAAAAGAGTCATAACAAAATGGTTACTTACTCTGAGCTATGATAGTACAGAAAACCTAATTAAACAGAAATTTTTATCTTAAATAGGAATGCCCACTGTTCATAGAAACTTCGGCCATGGGTGCCCACATATAAAAGCATATAGATATGATAATATGCAATTAAAAGAATGAAATGGTAAAGGAATTAGTTTAAAAAAGTCGGGATTTTGGGGGTATAAAAGTTTTTATTTTCACAAATACAGTTTTTAACAACTACTTTTATCGATTTTATCGCATTTTATTTCTTTGATTTTTAATTCCAGACGTTTTGATTGCTTTCCAGCACCCATGGTCACGGGGGACTGAGGTGACTGACGTCCCAATATCAGTGTTAACCTGGAGTACCTTCAGATTTTTAAATTTTATTTATGGTCCGATCTACGCAGAATGTAGGTACTACGAGTATCTGTGTCTTGAAGTCTTGCAGTGGTATGCTTGGGTTTAGTTTTAATTTCATTAATAACAGGGTCCCAAGCAGGTGGTAGTATTAAGCCTCCTTCTCTATAAGAAATAAGGATTTTTTTTATTTCAATAGTCTCACGTATCATCTTTGATAGGGGTTGATGTTCCTCCGAGAGGATTTGTGGTCTATCAAATCTGATTTATGTCTATCTAGTTGGGCCGTTTAGGATATGATCACAAACTGCAATCTTCCCCAAACTTTGATGCTTCACGTCAGCTATATGTTCTTTTACGCGGGTTCTAATTGTTCTTTTCGTTTGTCCTATATATGATAGACCACATTCACAATCAAGCTTGTACACTCCTGGATCTTGTAGAAGAATATAACACTTGATGGATGGTAAGAACTGACTAATCTTCTTAGATACTTGTAGAATGTTCGAATAGAAGCTTCAAGATGTAGCCAATCTTGTCTGTGACACCCCTGACATATGGTAGTACTGCAGGCAAACGCTTGACTGTGGCCAGCTTCACTCGGTCACTACGACGTAGGCGCGGGACCCGAAGCTTGTTGTCGTGCAGAACCTGCTTGACGTGCTGATGAAGCTCGACGGTCAGCTGTTTGCTGTCACAGATCCCATGTGCTCTGTGTTACAAAGATTTGGTCACAGTAGCTAACTGTGAAGGATGATGGTGAGATTCATCGTTTTCTATACACAGTGTGACCTATGGTGTTGTTAGGATTTCCAATGACTAACCAATCTAGAAAAGCTAAGGAATTATTTGTCTATAATTTATATATCAACACATCATCCAGGAACTGAGCAGGAGGCAAAATATTAGTCTGATGCCGTGCCCAACACAAATACCATATTACTGTCATAACATGGGCACAGCATCCTACCGTTCAACGGCCGACAATACAATTGCAACAATAGTTTTTAATTGCACTTCTACCAGAACCATTGCCACTAATTAAAATATATATAAAATACACTTTATGACTGATGTGTCGACTTGCGATTCTAGCCCTAAGTAAAGAGCAGCTAGGGCTAAAGTTTGTTCCTTCCATAAAGCTGCTCCTGTGGTCATTACAGAGTTCTAGTGTTAGCACCCATCCATCTTCTCTATTATAATAAGTATGTGTATTCATTTCAGAAGCCTCGAAAATTATTCTTGGTAGGAATTTTAGTTCTTTTGCGAGGATTTATATTTCATCAAATTTAACAAAATGACAGGGACGGTCTTGACGAGACTGCAAACTTCTCGGAGCGTCGGACACTTCGGGTAGTATACGCCCGTTTTTATAGAGATTTATGTTTCTCTTATATTAGAGAGCACCCTCACAATCAAGCTTTTACACTCTTGGATCTTGTAGAAGGATTTTACACTTGATGGATGGTAAAAGTTTACTAATTTTCTTCTGCAGCTTGTATAAGGTTTTAATGGAAGTTTGCTTTAAGAGGTAGCCAATCTTGTCTGACTCCTCTGACAAATAGTAATACAGCAGGCAATCGTTCGATTGTGGCCGGCATCACTCAAACACTGTGATGAAAGCGTGGGAAATGAAGCTGGTTGTCTTGCAATACTACTTATATGGCGTGCTGAAGCGCGGCGGCAAGATGTTTATTGTCACAGATGCCTTTTGCTCTCTGAAACAAAGATTTACCCACGGTAGCTAACTGTGAAGGATGGTGGTGACACCATTTAAATATCGGTTAGTATGGGTCGTTTTTCCATGGGCAGTATGACTGATTGTATTATTTGGATGACTAAAATGTCTAGGAAAGCTAGAGAATTATTTGCTTCTAACTCCATAGTGAATTGAATTTTAGAGTTTATGGAGTTAAGGTGGTTTAAAAATGCAGTTGTTTTGTCGGATGGTAAAATCTCAAAAGCGTTTTCTACAACCGTTTGTAGAATCTTGGATTTACAGAAGGAGTAAAAGGGCGTTCTCCTCAAAATCCTCCATGAATATATCCGCATCTATGCGAGATACAGGTGAGCCCATTGCCTTATCGTTTAATTACTTGTAGAACTCCTCCTTCCACAATAGATAGACAGATGTGAGGCAGTGTTTAAGTAATACTGCGTATTCTGCAGGCGTGTAGTTTTTTTATAGTTTCCTAATTACAATTGAGATTCAATAGGTAGGCATGTAAATAGTGACTAAACATCAAAACTGACCATACTTTCGTTATTAGCTAGATTTTTTTATATTTCTTTAGTGCTCGGGTGTGTCGTCTCAGCGGCAACAATATTTTTGCCGTTGTGCCAACTTATAAGTGATTGAATCCTTCTAGTACCTTACGAGGGCAAGGACGGGTTATGTTGGACTTGCACCAAATAAAACCCCATAATTACTTCAACACTATACTGAGTGACCTCAATGGTGTCTTTAAACGGGGTAGAACCCTAAATGAACGATGACAAAACGAAGGTCATGTGTTACCTCCATTTCGCACCTATGCAGTTAGTTACGAGTAAATACGACGACAAATATTCCGCCTAGGTAAGTTTAACTTTGAACAATAGGTCAATCGTCGCATTCAACTCGACTGTCGTAGACTCCTGAACGTACAGCTAATCATTTTCTCGTCAGGTATACTTACCTCAAAACTTGTAAACAATATTGTACAACCAGTACACGTTGGCAGTGACCACTTATGGATCTGAGACGTGGTTCTTCACACTTCTAATACGACCATGAGGAAGCTCAAGGACGCTTAACGAGCTATGAAGTGGGTTATGCTCGAGATTTCTCCGCGTAATAGACTTAGAAATGAGGATATCCTCAGTAGAACCAAATTAAACAATATAACCCAACGGATTAGTAAGCTAAGTGTAGGACAGCCCCCCACTAGGTGGAGTGATGACCTAGTAAGACATGTAGGAAATGGATGGATGCAGGTGGCTCAAGGCCGTGTTTTGTGACATAAATTGGGGGAGGCTGAATGATCATGACGCAATAAAATTGTACCGAATCTGCATACATGTACAAGTTTTGTTTTTCAAACGTCATAGCCGTACAGGAGAAATTGTTAATGTAAGAGAGGGGAAGGTAAAAACGAAAAAATAATTATATTCAATATGTTATATTCATTAATAAAACAGTTATATAGAGTTGATTTTAATCAATTGAATTATTTTCATTATAATTGCTTTAATACAAGTTGATAGATACATATTCATAGAACGGTTATTGATCAAGATATTTTTGACTATCTACTTTCTGCTTGTACTCTTCTCCGTTGGTTTAATCGCGGCGGCAGCATCGTCGGCTACCTTGGCTGCTGCCTTTTTCGCATCAGCGGCAGCAGTTTTTGCATCCTCCGCGACGTCACGCCTTAGTCTATTTCCTTCTGATGGAAACGCAGCTGCGGCTACCACAAGCAACTGAAAATATAAACAGAAATTACCGTATAATTAAAATAAGTAAGCGAAATTTATATTAGAATAAAATCACATATCATCGTAGCATATTTAGATGCATGAGCTAGTACGTGTCACGCTTTGTAAAATGAATTGCAATATAATATTAGAGACATGACAACTTGGATTCTATACGTATATTATTGTAATTAAAATTAAAAAAAAAACATATATTTTAGGTCATTATGTTGACTGCCCGTCGCGTCGGCGATACGGTGAAATTTTTTTATTAGAAATTAATGTGATCCGCCACTTTACTCGGCTTAAGTTTTTCATAGTTTCTTAAGGACCATCATCATTAGCCCGTAAAGTATAATGTTGGACTTGAATCACGTCACGTGGACACAATAAATGTAGAAGATCAAAATATTTAAATATGTTTGTAAAGGGCTGTAATGACGATAATGATAATGAGATCGAAAAAATAAATTTATTTCATTTCATTTCAGTACAGCGAAATTGGCGACAAAGCCATCGTATCAATTGGGATTACGATGACGATCCCAGAAAGGGCTTTTCGTTGAATGACCAATGTTAACATGAGCATAGTAGTAACGACCTGTTTCAGTGGTTCAAGGTTTGTATCCCGGACGCAATAATTTTACCAAATCAAAAAATTACTACCGGGGGTTCTTAAGGATTTTTGTTTTATTACCGTAAACGTTTCTGAGCCTTTAAAAGTGTCTTTAGCTACGATTTATAGTTACTTCTTTATCTTTAACCTTAAAAGTCCTTAGCTGGACATGCGTTTCTCCCCTTATAGACGGGATTTGTAAGCACATTTTGTGATACTCATTCTGACCGTCACTGATTTGTGTACTTTATGTCTTGTGTAGATAAGATGGTTATACTAATATATACTAATATGGACATCCATACCAAAAACCAGCGGAACGAAATACCAGTCGGTCTGTACAAATTTCACGCTTTTACGAAAAAAAAACTAGACGGGGATACGTATGAAAGCTGGGTCTATATCTTTGTCTAAATTTTTACCTCAAAATATCTTAACAATAGTTACATATTTGAATATTTTAAGTTGGATATGTTTTAATATGATAATATATTGAGCGATAAAGTATTTAGAGGTTTTTTCTTTAATATATATAGACTCTAGTCTCCAATTCGCTAAGAAGCTTGGTTAGTGATTCCAGCATATCTTTCAAACCGGGAAAAGATTGCGTGTAGTGGTTGTATAAGAACATCCACTACTGCATAGCTTCCCGTGGGTGTCGTAAGAGGGTAAACTGAAATATATATTTCTGATAACAACTCAATTTAATAAAAACTGCGCTTGCCATTTCGCTTGCCAAGCGTGACAACTATGTCTAAATCCCCTCCTTGAGGCAAACTATGGGGAGGCTCATGTTCGCAGTGGAATTTTGTTGGCCGTAATGAAATGGATGGGAAGAGAATAATGTCAAAGTCGTTAATATTATAAATGTCAACGACGACAATGTCGTACATTGATATAGATAATATGCTAACAGTTGTACGCTAAACATAAAAGTATACAGTAATCTGTATATTAACACTTTCACTGTCCAATTTTCAGACACAATAGTAAGACTATAGCAATGAACTATATGTAGTACACAGAGAAGAGAAAACTTGTTTCCCCTTTGCGCGCCTAGAGGAGTGTGAGATTAGGCGTAGTTAAAATTATCATGGAGTAGGAGCGCAGAAGGCTAAAATTTATATATAATATGTCTTACAAATACATTAAATTCAATAAAATAAAACATACATTGCTTACGTTCGAATCGTGCACGGATCAAGTATTTGTATGGCCTACAAATAATTGTTCTGGGTCTGGATGTGTATCCTTGTGCAATTTATGTTTGTAAACTGCCTCCACGATACTGAAGAAAATCCTCGTAAGGGGGGAAGGGAGGTTTAAAAAATCGACCACTAGGTGACTACTAGTTGTTAAAATCATGCCAAACTTTGTGGAAATTCACTAAATTAATTTATTATTTATAATGTAAAAATCATTTTGCTAAGATATATGGGTAAATATGTGATTTGAAAGTAATTGTGGGAGGACGGTGCTCTTAAAATTAAGCGATACGCGCGATTTCATTCCTGACGAGGATCTTAAGTAAATAATTTTTTTATCTTAAATGAAAATATACTTACAAAAACAAATAGAAATAGTGCTCGAAAATTCATTTTACCGTCAATTAGGAATCAAAAAACTGAACCAGAAGAGTCACTGCAAAAGATAACCTTCTTACTACGACAGCTGTACTCTGACTGACTGACCATCGTCAGTCAGTCAAAGTAAAAGATAAACAGGAAGGTCTGAATTTAGTGATGGTAATTTAAGTTTGACACAGTAATCAGCGACATAATAACTGGGTACCATAGTGAGAAGTGGAGGTGTAAGAAAATTTATACACCTACGCTGTCGCGTGAGAGCGGACTTCGAGATAAACATTTTGTGTAATATCCCATAATTGACCGTAATTTTTCTGTGTACATTGAAAATAATTTTTGTCAATTTTACTGCTCGCACGCCAGTTTCGTTTTTTTTAATAATAATTAACTGAAAAAGGTTGGCTTTGGAGAGAATGTAATACAAAAACAATAGCCCTTTTTTATAGAAGAGGGGGCAAACGAGCATGCGGCTCACCTGATGTTAAGTGACTACGCCGCCCATGATCAACCGCAACACCAGGGGAATTGCAGGTGCGTTGCTGGCCCTTTAGAAAGGAGTAAGCTCTTTTCTTGAAGGTCCCCAGGTCGTATCGCTCCGGAAAAATCGCTGGTGGTAAACTATTCCACAGAGAGTTTGTACGTGGAAGAAAACTCCTTTTGAAACGTACAGTGGTGGACCGCCGAGCATCCAGATGGTGTGGATGGTGTCGGGACGTTTGCCGCGTAGTGCGTTCACGAAATTTGGCGGCTGGGATTAATCCGAACAATTCCTCAGAGCACTCCCCATGGTATATGCGAAAGAAAACAGTGAATCGAGCCGATCGAAAAGCACTCGGTCGTCGACGATTCAAGCTGCTCTGCGCTGGATGCGGTCAAGTGGAAGGAGCTGGTACTGGGGAGCCCCACCCCAGAGATGGGAACAGTATTCCATGTGCGGCCGAACCAACGCCTTCTAAAGTTGCAGCCTCTTACTGAAATACTGAACACGGATGATTCATCTAAGAATGCGTAAGTTGGCAAGCATTATTTTAAAGAATTGCCTATAATAATAACGGGGCCATGGCAGGATATGTACTCGTAGGTTGATAAGCAAAGATCCAATACCACAATGCTAGTAAAGCTACTCCTTATCATCAGACGTGAAATTTGGGTACAGTGGTTCTGTATGGACTCCTATACATGCGCTGTTCGGCAAAGTCTCGTAAAACCAGTAGGATGCAAGAGTTGCATAATCTCCCTTACACCTTAATAGTTCAGGAGAACTCGGCGCATGAGTATCGAAAATTATTCCACATCAATTTTTTATGCAATTCTTTTGTCCTTTGATATAAATGCATGTTGCCATGGGGCAAATCGGTGCCATATTAATTAAACCGAATTATTTTCTCAATTGCAAGGAATTACATGTAATATTAATATATTTCGTATTAATATTTATATTAATATAAATATTAATATGAAATACAAATAATTTTAATGAAATTATATTTTTTTTTAGTTTAAGACAAATAAAAACTCGATTTAAAATTACTTAGGTATACTTACATTACTCTAAGAACTTAGTTATTAAGGTTATTCAAAAACTCAAAATAATTACAAAAATATATACTTAGGTACATTTATATTAGTTTAAGAACTTAGTTATAAAGGTAAAATAAAAAGGTTTATTATTTTTTGCTTTTCGGTTTTTTCGGCGGTATAGTTTTTTTGTTAAAAGATTTTATTTAATAACTTTTTGTGGCTGTAATCTACTAATTGCTACATGCTTCGTTTTTGATTACTTTTAAAATATCTACTTACCTTACTTTAGCTATTAACTGATATATAATCCTACTTTAACTATTATTTGTTTAAAGCTGTAATTGGAAAGAAAGTGTTTGCCAAAGGGCAGGCATATGTTGCACTTAGTAGAGTAAAACACTTGAGGGCAATGCTTTATCTGATCTGGAGCCAAATAAGGTATTACACAAACCTCACGATGAACGAGCTTTATGAGAAATGCAGAGACTGAGAGGTCTACACACAAGAGACATTTGAGACGTAATTGACTAAGCGAAAAATTAAAAAAAAAATATATCTTATGGTTACCCAAGATGGCGATATAAACATCTCAATTACACCAAACGTAAAACACGTATAAAATAATCAGTCGTCAGCAACGTTAAAGGTGCTTGACAAATCTCCTCTATTAGGAGAGAAACACATGAACGTTCATATATCCCGCCGTCTGTATTTATTGCATAAAATCACCAAAATCTTTATTTATATTGGAACAGGCCGTGTGGTAACAGCGTTCGAGAATTCATCGATTCGATTCTCCGTTTTGACTCGTGGGTTTGAGAAGGGGTGACTTTAAGGCAAATGCAAAAATAATCTTATAGTTAGCGAATATAGCCCTATTATAACCGTCTCAACCAGTCTAAAAGGTGCCAGATCTCTGGTACCAAAATTACAAAATTGCTAATTCTCCCTACAAGAGAAGACCCAAGTCCAGATATGGACTTTTAAGGCTGATGAAGAAGAAAAAGAAGATATTTTTATAATAGTTACTAAAGACAATTAAAGCTCAAATCAACGTTCACTGTAGTAACGATGATCCTGTTCACGATTTAACTAACTATTGAAAAACTCATTAGAGACGTGTAATTCAACATATTCTATTGTCTTATTATTACTATTTCTGTGTAAAAACCAATTGTATTTTTAGCTGTATATGTATATCTGTATATATACACTGTGTAACATATTAAACGCAAGCCTTCTCGTAGAGTTGCTCAGAACCATCAAATTGAACAACTTTCACTATGGGACCATCTTCGAAATAAAATAAAAATTAGCTGTTTCATACAAAATTTCAACGGCCGTTTCACACGAATGTATGAAACAGTTGATCTTTTTTCGTATTTTGCCTGATCTTGATGATTCTTACGACAGTCGATTTGTCCTAATTTTGTTAGTGTCACCAAAGACATGACGACACTGACCTCTATGTATATATAGAGGTCAGTGCCGTTGTTTCCATGACGGTAATCAAAATACAATGTGGCTACAATCAGACGCCGTATTGGTTAAAAGAAAAAGAAATAAAGTACAACTATGTCAAGTGGGGTATTTATTAAATCGTTGATCAGGTCTTTGAAAATCTACAATATCTAAAGTATTTAGGTTCTCTAGTCATTCCGCATTTTGAATGACCTTTTATGATCTATAACGATTTAAAGTTGGTAAGCAACCATTCATGCTTAAATTTTCAAAATTTATAAGACTGTGATAAAGTTATTATATGATCGTTTACGCAGTTGGATTTGGATAATCAAAACATTATTAACCGTGCTTGTGTAAAATAATAAAAATATAAAATAATTTGTCGAAATATATAGATATTTTTGGTCTGGAATATTTATTGTGTTGTCAGTCTACTAAGTTAATGTTATAGAAGCTAACACATGTTAGATGATTTAGCGTACGATAAACCTGAAAGTATCTAGAATTATCAGAATCAGGCGTAACTTTGTAGAAATTCATTATATTAATAAGGTAATTAAAATAATTCAGTCAAGATGTGGGTAAATAAACAAAATTCTGTAAATACAATTACCAATGGTGGTGTTTATTTTACAGTGAATAGGTCACAGACTACTAAAAGGATACTACGTTATAGGTGGTATTGGGTGTAATGTTGGTGTGATAATTGACGGCAGTAATAGTAAAATCTATTGTAGGATGGTGGTGTTTTTCAACCGACTTCAAAACGTAGGAAGTTCGCAATTCGTCGTAATCGTTTTTTATGAAAGTAGGCATACACAAATTAACTTTTTTACGCATATTTTTTTTTATATTTGCTGAAAATATACTTACAAAATAAAAAATATTGCTAGAAAATTCATTTTGCCATCAATCAGAGAAGAAAAACTAAAATTAGAAGGGTCAAAGTAAAAAGAACCCTGTTACTATGAAAGATCCACACTGATTGATCGATGATTTAAAAGATAAACAGGAAGGTCAGAATTTATAGTGGCCATTCATGTTTGCCACAGTAATCAGAGACGTAATAGGGTATAATAGGACTAATGCGCTAGTGGTGAGGGCTACGGTCCGTGACCGATTCCACAAAACATTTTTCCTATGAGTTGTGATAGATAAATACTTTTTTTCAGTATTTAACAACATGGAACAGATTTAATGCATTATATATTACGGAGTTCTTGCTATAAATATATACCATACTCAAATGATATCTTTAAATATAATAAGAATTGGATGTGTAATAAAAAAAATAATCTCGACGTTTCTTGTGAGAACGCAATTTAAAATAAACAATTTTTATGTATTTAAGTATAACATAAATATAAGCAATTATAACAGCATTCTTAAACGAAATGCTAAACGAATACCTTTCTTCTAAAAATGCGTAAGCTGGCAGATAATATTTTAAGGGTTTGCCTGTATTCACTACGAGGGCGTAGCAGGGTATATGTACCTGTAACATGCCGCGAGTTGCCTTCAGGGTATGGGCCGGACTTAAAACCAGTGCTATCACTGAGCCCGGTCATTTTCTTTGTTTTAAGCTGCACAGGGCATTTTTAAATATATTTTCTTAAATTAATGATAATTATAGATATCAGACTCTCAGACTATCAGCGTAAAATAGCAGCTTAATGCTGCTGTGTTTCGTATGGTGAGTGTAGAGAACCAGATACCCTTTTTTACTGGAAACGAGGCATTACACCTTAGTCCTCATGGGTGACAACGCTTCTGCGTTTGATTCTTAATCGAGGATAAATTTAGATGTGTATAGGCCATAGCATCCACTTACCATCAGGTAGACTGTGTGCTCGTTTGTCAACCTAATTCTATAAAAAAATCTATCTTACACATTATTTATGTAACTATTTTAAGTTTTGGTTAGTTATATTCACATTATTTTTTACGTTATTTAACACAAGATAAGTAACATTATTGTTAACTGAAAAATAAAGTATTTTTTTCGTTGAGAGTATTCAATTTTTTTT